GGGAGCGTGCCTCATTTACATCGCCTACCGGTAGTGTGCAGTAACCCGGTGCGTCTGTTGGAGCGATCGATGGCGAAGCGCACCATTCATCATCTGGCGCGGCCAACCGGCACCCTTTATAGACATTAATTTGTAATCCCACTCGCGGATACATGAGTCTTCCGCGATGTGTCACTTACTTTGACAGATTTATGGTAAGTGTTGTATTAAAACCGAAGCCATACGCTTAAGCCGTAAGTATTTTATGTGGTACATCTTTATTATTGACAATTAAGACAGTAAAAACACACACCATATGGAGGACCACCAATTATTCCAAATCACAAATTATTCCCCAAAGTATTGTAAACAAATTAACATTAATATTTGTCTATTAATGATTGGTTTATTATAAAAGCCTCGCGCGTCGAATTTGTGGTTTCCAAATGACTTCTTTAACAAAAAAATTCGTAGAGCCCCGCGTGACTGACGAGCATTATCAAAGTCTGGAAGGCTTTTGTTGCGTGTGTTCCCTTCTTTAAAAAATACAGGAGCTTTACAATTTGGCTTCTTCCCCTAAGGGAATTGTTGATTAGCTCCATATATGCTCGTCGTCCTTATTTTTATTTTGTTTTATGTATGTAAACATGGTGCTAAGTACCTTAATATTCATTTCATAATTCATTAATTGGACAACTCACGCGAGAGAAAGACACCTTAATCCTATTTGTTGAGATAAAAAAAGAGATAATAAGCCTAATGGTTTGACCAACCGCCTTTCAAGCAGAGGCCTGGGGTTCAAATCCAGCCTCGCACCGTGAAATTTCATTTGAAATATATACTATGAGCTTTTTGGCGAAGGAAGACATTGTGATGAAACCTACACTAACCTAGAAGGTTCACGACCTTTGGAAAATGAGTGAAGTCCCCAACCGCACTGGGCCAGAGTGGCGGAATATGGCCTAAACCCTCGCCTGAGAGGTGGTGATTTGATGGTGATTTATTGAGATATTATGAGTCCAAGTAAGTAGACGAAACGATCTAAACGCTACTCGTCGCCTCGTTAACGAACCCCAAGTCAATTGGCTTAATTCTCAGGTCAGATTTATCGAAATGAACGGGATGATATACACTTTTTCACTAAAAGAGCGAAGTAAGTCCAAATTAGTGACGTCAGTAATGATTTGACAAGTTGTAGGTAACAAAGTTCTTTGAAATTTAAGCAAGGATGACATATTAAGGGATTGGTTATAATTCGCACAAGGACAAAAACCTATCGATACAGTTGTACTATTTATTACTTTGTCGATGACAGTCCAAAGATTTAAATTTTGTGACTTAGTAACTACATAATTATATTCAATAATTTCTTTTACATTTTGCAACTTTAAAATAATGTACTTATTCAAATTAAGAATCTTTTAGTATTCCGTTTCATGTAGCCTAAATTTAACTTGCAATGTTCTACAGTGCTTTGAACAATTTCAAAAAGTAACGAGGAAATTTTATAATAACAGGTATATAATTCTCGCACGGGTCGAGGCCTTTACCAAGACTTCGCCCACAGATATTTCGCCATTGTCTTGTGAATACAAATGGCCCGTCTTGTCAAAGACGTCACAACAAGCCCTGTAACTGCTAATCGATATCTCGACTGATATCTACGGATTAAGGCATTTCTTCGTTCATCTTCAATCTTTACTCTAGTATATTATAATAAGCCATCACTACCATCTAATATACGCCTATTTAGTAGAGTCCTTTATCAATACTGCGTCTTCAAACTGTGCTGAATAAATGTGCGAAGTATTTTACTAGCAACAAACGTAATCTGTTTAATTCTTACTCTCATTACCCGTGTTGACAAGAACCCATGTTATTTAGCATATAATGTTCTTTATTGTACAATACAGAACACAGAGATTACATTAGAGGCCTTGGCAACGTAGGTGTTATACCAATTACATCCTTCTTATTATTGCAAGGCTTCTCTTCCAGGAATGTCATAAGCTCTTTACATTGCCTACGTTCCATTTTCATAAGAAAAATTACTGATAATTACAACTTTATATTGTTGTTGATGTTTAAAGCTCTACTCACTAATCTGTCGTGCTTACAATATTAACGTAAGTATGTTTGAAATACATATAGACTTACTGTTCCTATTGTAAGCACGGTAGTAATGAGGCCATTGTAATACGGGTCGATAAATTAGAATACAATGTTTCAGTACCAGGCATACCTAAGGTGTACATTTTAAAATTGTAAAAAAAAAATTATCGGAATTAACAAAGGAGGAGGTTCTCAATTCGCTTCTACTATTTGTGGACCGATTTCGATTTTCGGTTTTTTTTTTTGTTAGAAAAAGGATGCGTCTGAGTGGTCCCATTAAAATATGAAGAAACTATTTTACCTTTAAGGGTGGCAAATTAGGGGATGGATCCGGTTTATTGGATTTCACCCACTTTCCGTTAAGCGATTTCAATAAGACTTGGTAAATGAGATAGAAGATTCCACCAACTTTTGAGGTTGATTTTTTTAGTTTGTGTTGGTTTCCAATTCGCGTAATTTTATATTTTCAAATCAACGAACCAACGTTTCTGGTTCGTTATAGGTTCCATGGCTACGGCTGACTGCAAAACAAAACTTTGACTTGTAATTAATCGTATTTAGCGAAAGGTTATGACGTGTTTTCTGACTTCCGCAAACATTAATCATTTTCGAAGTAAAATACAAACCATCTATTTCTAGTTAATTAACACTTTTTAGACGCATATGAACACGGGTTACTTACTGTATAGACGAAGTCTTTGATGGACTGTCTTCTTGTCTAGATGAATGTTTGAAGCAATTGTAAAATTTCTGGTAATAAATTTTGAAACATTCCAAGATGAGTGTTAACCTCTTAAGAGTGGTTGCACACGGCGATTGCATCGCTACACTTGCGATATATAGGCGATTGCATCGATACAGTCGCTTATGTTGAATAATTATGTACGAAAAATATGTACAGGTTTATGTACATTATTTTATTTTGATAATTGTAAATTTAAAGGTGAAATTAATAAATACGTTAAATAAATAAATAACTTAATTAATTTAAAACGTCTGTCGCGTTTGTGAGAAAAGCGCTTACATGCTTCAGGCTAGAGCAAGAATGCCCTTAGTTTTATATGAAAAACTTTTTTCCTACATACCTAATGATCATATTTAGAATATTTTACATAGTGCCAAATTTGAATGCAACAATTACTATGTACATTGGGCGTTTGAAAAAAAAAGTGTAGAGTTTTTCCAATTATAATATCAAAGGTGTATAGCGTAATCCAGATATTTGAATTGTCCTTGCGAACAAAATGCGCAATACTGCGTAAAAATGACTCGAAATATTGCGGCATATAAAATTTCCGAAACGTAATAACCTTTTCTTTAAAGGAGTGCTATTTATTCCAATGGCCTACGGGCCATGCTATTTCCACCATTTTCATTTTTGTTTCCATTTATCATATGGCCGTGTTATTAAAAGTGCAGCTACGTCTTGGTCTTTCATTCAGAGCTAACTTTAATTAAATGTCAGGAACTCACATTCGTGAGAGATATATTTCTAGTTCACATTGTACACAAACCTTTTATTATAAGGAAGGGTCTATGTTTTTGTGGTCCCTAACAGCTATTTCATATATTTGGGTCGAGTAGAACATCTACTATGGAACGGCGGCTTCTTTCTTTTAGAGAATTTCGCGTCTTTAGTAAAAGCCTGGTTTCACGTACTAAACATGAACAACCCTTCAAGAGATGCCGCCTTAAAATGTTTTCCAGGTGGCATCCCTTTAAGGGTCGCATCTCCTACTACGTTAATAAAGTCCGTGCCATATTATTATTTAACTAAGAAAAACGCGACATATGTATGTACTACATAATATTCTATTTCTAGAAAGCATAAAAAAGACAAATGTAAATAGATAACATTATACAAGTAACGTACATGGAATGGCAGAACTTTGTTCTTCAAACGACTGTAGTTATAAACACAAATAGAAATGCGCTTCAGCCTTTCGCAATCTGCTGCTGGAAATAGGATTTTCCCAAATCGTTCGGTAAGAAGTACTAAAAAACCACACGTCATTGATGTGGCTCCTTCTCCCTTCAATGTTTCAAGACGCAGCATACCTACACATCGAGGGCTTGAATTTTTGCGATGCTCATAGTGTCATTGTATTTCAAGAATATTTGTACACTTAGTACGCCGTTAGTGGGTGTCTGTTACGAATCATAAATACCTAGGTCCCTTAGTATAAGATGCAAGTATGGTATAAACAGTTGAGACTAAAATATGCAAATCTCGCGCTTACGTTAAAGCCTTATGCGGAAGGCCATTTTTGTGAAAAATGTAGTACACATTTTAGTTCCTAATCATATCTCATCAAGGATAGTAAGCGTGTTATTGCAAAATATAAAAGTTTACTAGCGTTTACCATTCGTCATAATCGAGCATTTGAATACGAATATTTACAGGTATTGTTATTACAGTACTAAAACATATTTGTTCTGTTCTGCAGTTGTGCATGCCTAAAAATAATATAGTCTATAAAGCAAACTTAACAAATCAACATCATTGTGTTTAAACTTAGAAAGCTGAATGATAAAGAACGCAGTAACTTCACATTTGAGAATATATGTGCTATAAAAGAAACATTCCCTTCCGTCGCTATTCATTATGAGAGATATACACGGAATTTATTGCCTATCTCGAAATTCGGACGTGAGTTATAAATTTGTCTGAAACTTGGTAGGTGTCTAGTTATTATAACACAAAAAAGACGGCGACAAAAACGAGTATACAACCAACAAGGGCGTTTAATTACTCCTGGTTTTAATAAACCGGGTCTTATATTTATCTAAACTTTTTCAATGTTCATAAATAAAGTAGGTTACATAGGTAAGACGTACAATAACACAAAACAATTTTGGCCTCTAAAGTTTGCTTACATCATAAATATTTGATAAAGAATATAACTTACGATTTACAGCAAAATCCTGCAGCCAAGAAGCGCGTAATCGTCGGCGTAGCGGTCGTAGACGAGTGCGGGCGTAGCGCAGGACGGGCGCATCGCGTAGGCAATACGCCTTCACTGCCCCGCCCGCCACGGCGCGACGCTCCTAGCTCACTTCACATAGAGCTACGAAGCTTTTATTTTCGTAGGCGCTCTTGAAAACCCACGCTTATACTTTTAATTTCGTTTTAATAACACAAAATCATCAGAAAATCTGAAACGCAAACAGATTTGGACAAAAATAGCTACCTACATTCTTACACAAAAATTTAATTTCCTATTGAACCTACTCGTATATCGTATGGGATGGTACAAACCTACTATTTCTAGTTAACTCCTATTCTCGTTGTTAAGAATATCAGGCAGAGGAAATTAATAATCTATATTATGATAGGGTTACAAACCGTATTCCGTAATGCGCTCAATGATTTCAGTAGTACATACAATTTCTTGCATCTCCCTTCAGTTCATTTCTTTCATAACTCTTGGCCGATAACGTAGAGCTAGGAACTTCAAGAAAGCTATAGCAAGGACAAAGTACTTCATATTTTTCTTTGTCCATGCAGTAATGATTCATCTGCTCGCGTCTTCGTCCTAAAGGTCCTTTTATTATGAAGACACGCGTCTATTGTATAAACCCACACACGCTTACTCCTGAGCTAGTGTATCATCTTTTTAGAAGATTGCATCAGTGATATATCGCCGCTGGCCCACCCCGAATTGGAAACTTTACATGTCTTTAGTTTTCAATTCAAGTATCCTCGTAGTATTTTGCTCCACTAAAACATGTTCGCACATGTACAATAATCATCATCATGGGTAAGTAATATTTACAATAATCTGCTAAATTATTATACATTTCTATTAGAAGTTTAGTTCCCATGGGGTACACGACTGTGGCTCGATAAATGCCGTTCAGGCGGAAACTCAATAAACTCAGCGTCAGATTAGCCTTTCCGAGGGTAACGAGGGTGATCCTTCCATTGATACAGACATTCTCAATTTTGCCTTTAAACTGTCATCTAAGCAACATCGACTAACGATGGCCTCAGAGGGCCACGTTCATTATACTCCGTCCAACCATTTATTTAACTTTTGACAGCTCAAATTCTAACCAATTTAATTAACATTTATTTATTAAGATTTTCTATAACAATCGATTTCATTTACGAAGAAGCGGTCTTGTTCTTTTATGATACTATTTAAAGCTTGCGTGATAAATATATTAAAACTATTGTAGTTTCGCCTTCCCGCAAGTACCCGTAATGGTATAAGCGACCCATAATTAAATTATTAAGAGAAAAGGCGAAGTTTCACAAAAAATATTAAACTTATGGCAATGCTTACGACTGTGACTCATTCGTCTCATCGTGTAAGAGAGTGTGAGATCGAGGAAACTATGTAAACTATATTTCAAATATTGAAAAGTACATAAAAGAAAATCCCCGTGCATTTTGGTCATTTATAAAAAGCAAAAACCAGTGCAATGCGTACCCTCTGTGCTTGTATATGGTAACCGCTTGTCTGATCAAGGTGACGAAATTTGTAACTTACTTGGGGAATATTTTCATTCAACTTTTCTAAATCAGGGGTGACACCCCTAACACCAGGATAGATTCCATTTCAATTGCTTACCTCGACTAATCTGCTGATATATCTACGGTTGAAGTGATTACGCTCACACTCATAACCGCGCACTAGGGAAACCCTGTGTCGCGAGTGCCATGGACACATACATAGACAACCACAAATAACACCCAAACCAATGAGATAGATAAATGTAGGCCATACAAATATTTCTCGGCCTGGGAATCGAACCCGGAACCTCTGCGTAGCGGTCCAGCATGGTTACCGTTCTGCCCCGGAGGCATCTAAATTGAAACAAATGTTTTAAAAATATTGAAAACTTTAGATAGAATTTAAAAATCTGCAGGCCCGGACAACATTCCCGCAATATTAATAGTTAACTGTGCATCGAGTCTAGTTCTTCCTCTGTCTATGCTGTACCACCGCTCTCTAGCTTCTGGAAACCTGCCTTCATCACCCCCATTCACAAAAAGGGACAAGGTAGAAAATTATAGGCCAATATGTAAGTTGTGCCTGTTTGCGAAGGTCTTAGAAAAAATTGTCTACTCACAACTCTTATCTCGCGCTCGAACATTGGATTTCGCTGGATCAACAAGTTTCTGAGAGGTAGGTCTACCACTTCGAATCTCTTACTTTGTGCGGAATCTCTTTCTACCGTATATGTCTGAACCATCACAATATGTTGATGTAATATACCTATACGGATTATTCCAAGTGTCTTGATCGAATCGATCATAATAAATTGTTAGAAAAGGTCCAAAAAATAGGTATAAGAGGAAACTTGTTGAGACGTTTGTCTTCTTAAGTCCGAAATCGATGTCAGACAGTAGTTTTAGGTGGTTACTCATCTTTGCCTATCCCTTCCGGTGTTTTTCATAATTTTTGTAAATGATATCGCTTCCTGTTTTCTGAACTTTAAAATACTTTATATGCCGACGACATGAAAATATTTCATAAAATTAAAAATCTAAAAGACGCCCACTGTCTTCAGGATGATCTCATCAGATTTCAAAATTACTGTAGGTACTGTAATCAAATTGGCCCTTAATGTTTCAAAATGCTACGTGAGTAGCTATACTCGAAAACCCACAAAAATACTACACAAATATTTGCTTTTATAATGCTTCATTAACTAGAGACTCGATTAAAGATTTAGGGGTAACTTTTGATAGTAAATTGTTGTTTGATCAGCATATTGATAATATTGTCAAAAAAGCATCTCGTTCGCTAGGTTTTGTGTCAAGAATGTCGTCGGAATTTAAAAGTATCAAAACTTTTAAACTACTTTTTTGTTCTTACGTACGTAGCCGTCTTGAATACGCCTCCCAGGTGTGGAATCCTCATTATGATGTGTATTCTGCACGAATAGAATGTATCCAAAAGAGATTCTTACGTTACCTGCAATATCGAGCCGGTTTTATAGCCGGTAATTTCAGCCAGACTATGAGACTAGATGTCGCAAATTTAACTTTCTGCCATTATACAAACGGGGAGAAATGGCCGATTTGAAATGCCTAACTAACATAGCAAAAGGCACTGTCGATTGCCCTGGACTACTTGAGCAAATAGGAGTACGCACAGGCAAGGTTGCACTGATAAATCCTATCACCCTTTACGTTCCTGGGTTAGGACAAATTATAGGCAAAATGCATTTTTAAACAGAGCGTCTCGCTCATTTAACTCCTTAGTTAAGATATAGTGAGGTGGATTTGTTCAACACCAGTACGAACTAAAACGCGCTATTATAATAAAGTATAAGAATGTATTATAATTATTTATAATTTATTTCATTTCATTATAATTTATTAGACAGGTACCAAAATTTATCAACTTGAATAATCTTCGTTACATAATCTGTTGGCTCGATAAACACCGGAGCTAAAGAGGACATCTTTTCACTAAAATTAAAAATAAAAAAGTCCACGAAGTATTGCATTTTTGTATCTATGGTTGTATGTCCATAATTACGGAACTTCGGAGGCATGCTTACGTCAAAAGTTAAATACATGGTTGGACGGAGTTTATGTCGACTTTTGATTTTATTTAGTTGGAATACATTAATTATTTTGTTTTTGAAGTAAGTCTAGTTACAGTATACACCAGTAATGCGACGTTCTCCTTCTACTATACTATACAATGTAGTAAAAAAATGTATAGCACGGTCTAATACGACTAGACGAACACTTTTCGCGTCATTTTTTAGTAAAAGCCTTCCTATCAAACCGCCCTATGTAAGTAATGAAATTGTCGAGTTCAGTGTGGTTGGCACTTCCAATAATCTAATTAAACTTGTACCAATTGCCTTTCGGTTCTTGTTAGCCTGGGATTTAATTCCCTTACGACGCGAAGTTTTCTAGATTACGAATTCATTTCGCATCCTCAATGTTTCCTGTAAATGCTATTAAATGACTAAAACCGGTATTGTCCAAAAAACATTATTTCCTTCGACTTTTTAGCCCTTTAAACATTTTTTTTCAGTAACTCAATGTAAAGAAATGTGTCATTGTGTCATTTAGGACACAAAAGTAAAAAAGTCATTAAGAATAACACTTTTATAAATAATGAATTACTAATAATTATAAAACAATAGTTGAAAACCAAATACAAAGAACCGGCAACAAGCACATAGAAAAATTCGTGAGGTCTGATGGTTCGTTCCGTGTTTAGATGGTATAGCGTGACACGATTTGCTAGAAGACACCGGTTTGAATCCGGCCGGATCGAAGGAATTTTTTGTAAGTGTTCAATCTTTGCATTAATAATTATAACAAACTAGTGAAGTAATTTCATTAAAAAAAATTGAATATCAATTCAATACAAATTTAATTAATTACCTATTAACCATTTTTTACTTCAAGACGTGCTTCAAGACAAGTATTATCAATAACGTAATTGAATTTCGGGAAAAAAGCATTGAAATTGTGCTGCTATAATATCAGACTACCTCGCCTTCCCTATAGGATATTTAGCTTGCCCAAAAAAAGTAATGATTTTATTGACCTTGGAGAAGTCTGATTTGCAGAAAATAATGGGACGCACCTTACAAAGAAAGTTAGAACATTCTTAACTCTGCAACAAATACAAGTAGACTAGATTTGGCAATTTGCCTTGTATTTCATATTCAACCTTTGGCTTTGCCTTTAAACGACATTGTTCAAGAAAAATGTTCAAGAAAAACTAATATATGTAGGATGCCTTGTCCCTAAGCACAAAAATTGTATTAATATGACTAGCAGTAACATTTTTTTTTAGGTTTAGGTTTTATATTTAAAGGTTGAAATGCTGAAATGTTATGCGGCTAATAAAAATAGGTCCGTAGTTATGGCGAATGGAACAGTTATGATGTATGATGGATTAAAGTGAAACTTGACCACAATAAAGACTGATAAGTCAAAATGAGTTCGACTATGAACTTTATTTTTCAATTTTAGTGGAAAAATTTCCACTAATTGAAATATTTCGGAAAATTACCCAACAGTACCTAAGTGTACCTACATTTACTGTTGGGTAATTTGGGCATACCTGCACCTATACCGCACGCCCTCTTCTCAACAGAGTTGGCAAATAAGACAGCCGTCCACTTGGTACGATCGATCGTAACACGTCTTTCGCTGCATCAACACGCTCGTCAGTTAAGGGTAATCTTCACATCTGACATTTCTTCAGGACAGGGCGTACTCAATTTGCTCGTTATAATTTCGTCTTGATCGGTCCATACCAACTTACCCATAGGTACACACTGCCTTATAAATATGTTTTTTCAATCTTCTTTCATTCAGCTTGTCTACATGGTCACATGTACTAAGAATTCGTTACGGTCCTTTTTTTGTCGCTACATTTTCCAAAGCCGTCAAGTTTGGCGCTAGCGCACGTAACGCCCGGTGCAATCGTTACTCTGGCGCCCTTTAGTAGGCACGCGATCTTTGGAATACTTACAGTTATATTTTCACCAGTGATCGTAAATTCGGGTGTAAAATGGTGTAATCATACAGTCATGATGGGAAGCCATAGGCCGTTTACGTCGCTTGCGGCAAGCGACTCAGGCTTTTCAGGGGCAGCGTTCGGAGCCCCTTAATTTTTTTTATTTTTTATTTTTTCTTATTTATATCAGGTAACAAAGACCCATGTATACATACATACCTTATAGACTAACATACATAACAATATAAAAACAAAATACACCTATATTATATATACCTTAAAACAAACATACATACAATATAATAATAAAAACTAATCTACACGATTTCCCTTATCGGCGACGTGTGGTGCAATCTGGTGTCAGGTAACCGGCCGCGGAATCGCTGATATATGACACCCTTCGGCCAAAATTCCTCTTTCATGAAGGTCGAAAGATGTTCGGTCGGTATTCTCACCACAAACGAATTGAAGTTCACTTTGCGGCGAGACTCCAACCGCTCGACCCTCAGGGTGTATTTGGTTTTATGCCTGATATACTCCACTATCTCCTCAGACTTCGTGGAGTAATGCAGCCGCGACAGGTACATCAACGTCGTCGGTACGGCCGGACGCAGCAGGAAGTTCGGTCCTGTCGGAGCTGTGCCACACAGATTACGGCTGATGGGCTTCCTCTTCACCACCTTTGTGAAGCCATCCTCGTCGCACTGGACCGTCTGCCTCTGTGGTTTTACAACTTCAGAGACAGGCACACGGAAATTGTTTTTATCCTTAGCCGATTGCCGCCGCTCGAATTTCGAAGTGGCGGGTCGGCTAGTTGAAGCGGCTACAGCGGCGTATGCACGTGTCGGGGTTGACGTGCACACGCGTGACATTTCCACCGAGGCAGAGAGGCGGGCAGCGGGGCGCGGCGCATCGTGCGCGGTGGCAGCAACGAATGGTGACGCATTGTGTGCCGACTCGAAACTGCTGACCGAGGCATTCAGCGCTGCTCCGCGTCGTGTGTTTACATTAGAGGCTTCTGGTGACCTACATATCGAAACAGCATTGCTTAATAACGCAACTTGGGTACGCAGCTCACTTATGATGTTATCCGAAGCCTCTAAATGACACCCTGTGCCCGTGTGCTCGCACACCCTGCACCTTAGGTAAAGCCAGCTCAGGATATGCTGCATATTGCTACCTTGACCAGAAACGCAATACTGATAACATTAGTCGTCGTAGCAAATAATGAAATACATTATTTTTCGTTTTTCTGAACGATTATGCATGTGCGTAGACATCATTGTAATTAAAAAATTTCTCCATATACGATATACAGGTTCTACGTTTTGGAATGCTTAGTAGTTTAAACACAGTCAACATAATAAAGAATTTAATAAATTAATAAAAAGTAGAAACAATCAACTTTTCTTACAAGTGACAACACAACTGGGTTGGTAATATCCGTCGCTTCTTTTCCCGTACCGTTGCGATAGATGAAACTCTTCCACGTCCATTACTCCGAAGTCGTAATCAGCGAATTTTTCTAATATTTTCGATCCATCAAAGGTTAACCTTTTCCCCGAATTTCTTGACTTAGAATTTGAATCCCCAAGAGAAGTAGAAGACCGTTGCCGGAATTTCGAGTTAATTAATGTTACGTGTAATTTTACGTGGTCGTTCTCCCGATCCATGAAACCTAGAAAGTAAACATTATTAAGTAAGAAAAAATCTGATTTCAGACTAAGGTGAAAATCTAAGTGAAAAACGCAGACGAACAAAAGTTGTACTGAAACTAAATAAAATGTCAATGTCAACAAAGTAAACTATTACAACCAATTAGATAGCCAGGTGGTAATACCTGATTGGTTGGTTTCTGGACATTGTTGGCGACGATTCGGGTCAACGCAAACTTTATTAAATAGAAAAGTACCGTGAGACTTAGAAAACTTCGCGCCTCATTAACCACTTAAGTCTCATTTGTTCACAAACATCCGTCATATTTTGAAATCGCAAATAAAAGGAACCATAGAAATTTAAGATATGGGCATAGAATAGTTTACTCGGGCGGTCATACTTCAACATTTTACCACAGAAACTTTTACGTAATGTCGGTCAAGATATACCTACAACAGCATTACGAATAAATTTAAAAAATCGAGTGCGTTAAATTTAAAAATGCTATTAGTAAATTGTTAAGTACCAAACCTTGATACAGTGTACAAGAGTTTTTTTCTTTCATATTCTAATGCAATTTAATTTTATTTAATATTTTAATCTGTGATATTAAATAACATTTAATAATATTGTACACCTTAACTGGTAGACTATAAGCACAAACCAACGTTTATGTATTGACCTATAGTTATGCAACAAATGTATTCTTATTATTTTTATTCTCATAAGACTTTAGAACCTGATGTGGTTAGTGTAGGATTCAACAAATCATACATATGACTTTAATAATAAGAATGAAATAAACGAGGGCACTTGCTCGCCACCGCAGCCTGCGCCCGCGTCTGTACTGACCGGATTGACAGGGCTTTGGCGCGCAATTTTAGTCGAGCCACCGCCACGAAAGTTCCATAATTAATGCTTGCTTGCGTTTGGCGGGGTAAACGGCGTAGAAAGCTGCCTTCCGCGCAAAGGCGTTCACGAGTCTTCCGCTTTGCTTTGCGGAGAGACTTGCGCGCATGCGCGGCGCCTTGCCTTTGTTTGGGTCGTCGACACTCTCGAACCAGCTGCTGCAGGACAGCACCACTGGCCAATCACAGGATTGGCCAGTGGTGCTGTCCTCCGCAAACGTTCCTTGTTGCTTACGTGGAAATATCAAGCTTGCTAGATATCGAAATCACGCAACGCAAAGCAAGCGGTAGGCGCAAGCGAGCGACTCGTGAACAGTCCTACCTTCGCGTACGCGACAGATCTTTGCGAAAGCGCGAAGCGAGTCACGTAAGCAAGCGAAAAACGCAAGTGAAAGACCCGTGAACCACGGACCACGGACTGGTTCGATACATGTCGAGCAAAAAATTGCTTTAATCAATCAGGTGTCCTCCGACTGGTTATCCATTTAGGCATTCTATTGAGTCGATCAGCGAAACTATAAAAAAAGTGGGAAATGCCCAAAATGCGCCCCATTTTCAGATACGGCCTTTTACTAACCTATTAATCACTTGATCGAGCCAAATTACAAGCTCCTTTTTTTGTAGCGTTTTATGGATTTATACTCTAGCCAAAGTTGATGTAAAATATTATGATAAGAAACAAAAGCATATGATTTCTAGGGTTTTCACCTAAGACTGTTTTACAGTTGATAGTACTAATCTTAAAGTCATGCCCGTGATGAATTTTGTTGAATAGAAATATAAAAATCACTAGTAATTAAAAATTTGAAAAACTGTGTCATTCCTAATGAGTTTTTGAGTTGAAGGGAGAGATTGCAAACATTCCTAGTTTGAGTAGTAATCCAAGTTCAAAATCGGAAATTGATGCTGGAAAAGGTATAATTACGTAATAAATTAATGGAAAATAAAATCTTACAATTTTGTTTCTTATATCTACCATTACCTACTATCTAGCAGTAAAGTATTAATATGTATCAAAAATGTAAACAATAACTGAGTCTATAACTTTAGTTGATATACCCCAGAGATCTTCACTATTTTTAATACGAGTATGTATTGATTTAAAAGCTTTTATGATGTCTTGTGGATTAGCATGACGGAAATTAAATAAACTGCCACAACCGTTAACATTTTCCTTTAGGAGATCAATAGCAAGATAAGGGGAGGAATATATCTCTATCGTGTTGTTTAACCCTGCCTGAGTCTTTATTTATTATGCTCCAAGTAGTTTTAGATTTATTGATATCGATTGTCTAATTTGGTCGCTGTGAAACTTAACCTTAACAGCTACACACACATTTTTAAATATTTTTGAATAATTTCTAACATATTAAGTGAAATTGGAATTAGTATTATAAGTTTTCATAGCATATAGCTCATACAAACGAGACCTACTCTTATGAATACCTACTGTTGCCCAGTCGTTGAATTTAGTCTCTCTATGGAAAGTTAATGTTTTCGATTTAAATACATTATTATTAATTAAACCAAATATCGTGCTATTTAAAGTATTTGGAACCTCCGGTATGTGGGGTAGGGAATTTAAACTATTGCGGATATTATTTTGAAATCTAATGATTCGTTCTGTGGTAATCGGTCTGCAGAGAAATTGGTCTACTTTCTTGCTCATTTTACAATTAAAAGAAGCCAATTGGCCGCTATGGTCTGATCTTAAACAATTAATTATTGATTTAGACACTGCGTCTGTGTTACAAAAGATGTTATCAATACAAGTATAAGAGGAGGCAGTGATGCGAGTTGGTTCTAAGAAAAGATAATTCAAGTTAAAACTTTTAAATAAATTCCTACAGAAGTAGAACAGTTTTCTAACAGGTTTACATTGAAATCCACATATTACTACGTTTTGTTTGGTTGGAAAAATTCGCTTTAAACTATCTTCCATAATTAATTCAACTCGTTAAAATTAGCAGAGGGGGGCCTGTATACAAATAAGACGACAAACTGATCCAATTCCACACATGAAATCTCAATAGTTCGTTCAGTAGAAAGATCTGTGATATCCTTACGCTCTTTAAATTTTAAGTTACGTTTAATAATAATCATGGATCCACCTCTACTTAAGCTCTTTCTTATGAACGAACTGACTATTACATAATTTTCTATGTTGTTAATTGCTTCGTAGTCTTTCAGCCAGTGTTCTGTAACATAAAACACGTCAACGGAAATATCGTGCAAAAAAAGACTTATTTCTAATGTTTTGCCAGAAAAGCCTTGATACATGGAAACGATTAGACTTTTCTATTGTCGTGTTATTCAGTTTAAATTATGGTTACTAATAAGTATACTGTTGCTACTTAAAGTAGGAGCATTGTCGTGGGACTGTGTTATATCTTCTATAACAGTGTCCTTAATATTAAAAGATAGCAAACTAGCTATATGTCTCAGATACCTTATGGGTTAAAGTAAATTATTCTCAAAAAGTTTGAAGTTCCTTACGAACTTATTAGTGTCAAAACAAAATATAACGTCACTATGACGGCAAGTCAAATTATGAATGTGCGAATTTATGTTATATAATATACTTATTACGAGCGATGCCTAGGTTAGAGCAGTAAGGGAATGCACTTAGTACGAATTTACACCCACATTTCTCATGAATTCTCAAGAACACGTTAATGCTACTATTTATTTCTTTTTTACTAATGTTATTCCTATCACCTATTATAAGAATCACTGTACATTTATCAAACTTGCAACCACTTAATAGTGTAATAATTTGACTAAAAGTAGCTCCTGGATAGCAATAGTTGACTACCCTTTGTTGTAAGTGGTTACTTAGGTGGTGGCCTAGTCCTACGCCTATTCTATCAGAATAAACTACCGTTCTCCTGGATGACCTAGTATGAGTTCTAATAGTCTTCGTTGACCGTTGACTTTGTCGAACTTCAACAGTTGTAGTCGAGCAGATACGTTTTCCTGCAGCAACGCTGGCATACGATGCACGTCCTGGTTGCGTTGATGATGTGGGTGGTGGGGATGGAATCTGATTTATTTCTACTGGATCATTTGTTTCACTAAGCTACGTAGATACAAGATACGTAGTGTATAAGATCATTGCTACTTACCTATTTTAATTTCTAATTACGAGACCACGCCGTGAACGAAGGTAGGTAGTGTAGTCTAGGTTCTACTCTATGAGTAGAATCACTGGCTGAATGAACAGTTTTGTAATTAGAATGTGTGTTGAAAAATGAAGTAAGGAAAACAATAGAGCATCTTGATAGATCGAAATATAGCCCAACACTATAAGCATGTAAAAAAGTGCAATAAAGTAAATTTTGAAGATTACTCCAGTTTATATTCATAAAAGTACCTCTCGCTACGCATCCTGAGGTAGGTCCCAGTTATAAAATGGTGGAATTCGCAGGCTTACAAATGATAGAAGTACGAATCCCGAAGAGAAAATTTTTTATATTTTTATTTTGAAAATTCTGGTAATGGAAGAGATATAATATAACTCAAGCCTGCAAATGATGGACGCAAGCTTACGAATGAAGAAAGGATTTTGATGAAGAAAAGTCCGTCGTGAAATATTTTTATATGTTGGCACCTTTTGTATCTGTTTTTATTAATGATGTAAGTTGCGAGGCGTTGGTGGATACTAGTGCTTCGGTTTCTATAATCTCTCGTTGTTTTGCAGAAAAGTTGTTTTACATTTGCGTAGTGACGATACTCCAAGTTTTCCTTTGTGTACAATGGGCGAAACGCCAATAAATGTGCAGTCGTCCACCAAAGTGTCGTTGACATTTAATGGAAAGGTATATCAATCAAGGTTGCTGGTTGTAGAGGAACTTGAAGAATAACTAATTTTGGGCCAAGATATCTTGAAGAAATATGATAACAAGTTGTCAAAATTAGAAATTGACAATAAAATTTCTTCTTCTAAGTCCATGACAGATATTGGGTCAAAGAAAGAAAAGTCTTCTTTGAAACCGATATCAAAAAGTTTAGATAACTTCTCGCTAGATAGATCGGAATATGTAAACTCTTCGGTTTTGCCAGAAATAATAGATAAAGGTGACATAAGTGAAAAGACGTGTCAATTACGTCAGGA